CAGAGCAAGGAGTTACGGAAAGAAAGTTCTTCACAGGACATTCCAAAAAGGAGACCTAGTCTGGAAGACCATTCTTCCTACATATAAGAAAACTGACCAATTGGGAAAGTGGTCACCGAATTGGGAAGGACCATACATTGTTCAAAAAGATATTGGGAATGGTGCTTTCATTATTGTAAATCATGAAGGTAAGAGAGTACATGATTGTATTAATGCTAAATATCTGAAGAGGTATTATCCTGCCTTTTCAGATAACAAAACTGCCTGAAACAAATATTATTCAGAACCCATTTGTGGGGTTCGAACCTATTTAAAGGTTCATTCAGTTAGTCATCGTGTAGTTGTGAGAAATTTTCTGCCTCTGAATCAGACTTTTCATCCCAGTGAGTGGATATTAGCTCTGGTTCTTCTTCAATAAGATCTTCCAAATCTGGTCGGTACCTTTCCCATTGGCTTTGCATTTCATCTAAATCTTGATGGGTACGTGCTTGCATGTCTGTTATGGCTTGATGTTCACGATCAACAATGGTCCGTAATCTTGAGAAGACTTTTCGTTGATTGGAAAAGATGTTATCCCAACCAAGATCTGGAAGTATAGTTGCTGCGTGATTTTCTATCATTTCCATGTGATGATGGAGATCAGGAATGCGGCTAAGGATGTCACGAAGAGGTTCATACCCCTCAATGACTTTTTCCATCAGGCGGATGACGCGATGAATGGTTCTTCTACCTCGTTGGGAGAATCGGAATTTGAAGTCTAGTTGCTTGAGTATATGTAACAAGTCTTCTGCATGGCCTCCAATAGGGTGATTACCCACAAAGAAGGGTTGAAGAACACCTTCCCAGTTTCTTGATGGAACATGAGGTCGGTCATTCGCCATGTTTGTTAACACTTCAAGTGTTTTTGATTTTCAAAATATGCCTTGGAATGTGTTTCTTAAAATGTGAGAAACAATGTTCTTTTAAAGAAGGAGTTTGTTTCGATTCCTACAAAGTTGGAAATTGAAAGGTGATCCTTGTTTTGAGAGACGAAAGAAAAAATGGATTACTAAGTCAAATGTTGTTACAAAGGGGGAAATATTACAACAGTGCCCCTAGGGCAGTTTTTATATGGGTCCATTTGATTTCATCCCTGGATAGCCTTCTGGTATTGGCAGCCGTCTGATATCTTATGATGAATTGGGATCGGGCTTGGGTTTTCAGCTCTTGATCCAATTCAGCCTCATTTTTGGTATACTTCTCAAGCAGACGCTGTTCATTGGTAATTTGCTTATCCAGGGTAGACTGTTCTTTCCTCAGCTCCCGCAATTCTGCCTCCTTTTTCTGAATAGCTTCATCGACTTGAGCTTTCGTGCTAAGGAGACCACCCAGCCTTCCAGTAGTCTGCTGAAGGGATTCTCGGGTCTTAGCCAAAGAATTCTCCAGCGTTGTTTGATCGAAGTCGGGCTGGGGGGTTTCGGTTGACAGGAGTCCAATGACTAACACTTCAGTCTTGAGCTCTGTAAGTCTTTCCATCAGCCGATGCAGAATGGGGACGGCTGGCGATTCCGTTGGAGTGTAAAAAAGAAGGCCACCAACCGTCTGAATGAGTTTGTCCAATAAGTCGGATCTCAATTCTGACAGGGGATGGTTAATGGCCTCAGTGAATATGGTTCGGGCCTCCGCCGGAACCGGAACAGTCGATAGGACAGCTAAGTCCGAAGGCCCCTGCAAGGCCTACAATGTCAATAAGTATTCCAAGGGAGGTGCAAAGTTGTTCAGATAAGATATGTGTTACCTCTGGGCGGACTGCTGTCAGTGAGGGGGGCAGCAATGAGGTCGGTCGAGTAGGGCAGACAGCTGGTATAATAGCAGCCGACTCGTCGGCTGCTGCAAATGGTCGCTGAGGTGCCGACCTGGGTCCCTATGGAAAGTAGTATATAAAACAGTTAGTGTTTTCTGAAAGAAACGCTGTAGCATGGATTGATTTTGATCTTACCAAATTCACAGAAGTCTCCGAATCGGACGAAGACACTTCTTCCATTTCTGGAGGTTGGGCTGCCATAGGTGGTTCTTCTGCCTGCCACTCGATGGCTGGAGGAAGCGCCGCTGCTGGTTGGGCGGCTGCAGGTTGAGCGGCTGCATCTAGAGCTACTGCAGCCGGGATCTCTGGGGCACCTTCGATTTCGGGATCAGCAGCATCAGGGATGTCGTTTTGAGGGTCAGCTTCGGCGAGGGCGGCTGGTTCTTCCTTTGACATGGATGAGTCTGATGCTATGTATGGCGGTCGACCCATCTGGGAAGTAGTTCCTTCGCTGTCAGAAGAGACCCCTGCTGCTGATCCGATGGGTGAAGGTGTCTGTGAAAAATCATGGAAATGTTTGTTGTTAAATATATCAAGGTTGATCATTAGAATCCTAAGTATTGCTGATGAGAGAACTTACTGGTTCTATAGGCACTGCTGGTAAAGATTGCCTCCTGGTCGGGTGCCTGGCCCGACCACTCCTCGGTACGGGAGGAAGAGTTTGCCTCCTCGTCGGGTCCTCCGCCCGACTGCTCATTGGCAAATGGGTCTGGACCAAAGGCCCGATTGAATGGTCGGCTGGGACTGGTGTTGCTTGTGTGGTCGGTATTACCAAAGTCGGTTCTGAGGAATGAAATGAGTGACATCAAAGTTAAGATATAGTGAATTGGTTCACGGTTGTAAGGAAAAAATTACCTATTCGGGATCGGGTCCTTGCGGACGTCCTCGTAGTTCCAAGGTCCGCTGGTGCTTGCTGGTCGGCCCCAGAGGTCGGGGGTGTTGGCAGCCGGGACGCCTTCCTTTTTCGCGTTGGAACACTAGACCCGGTCCCCGGGGCGGCTGTTTGTTGTTGAGTGCTAGTATGTCTAGCCGCCCCTAGAACCAATCCTTGGGGGGGGAGGAGTATGTTCAGCAACCGACCCTCATCAGGGGAGATCAGGGGCCATACAACCGACCACCATTCATTGAATGTTTCTACAGTCTCAGGGTTGGAGCGGAAAGGAATATAAGAATTGGAAATTATATACGTGGTGAGCTGGGAGATATAAGAAGGAATTGAATTCGGTAGGACTCGTCGGTCAGGGCTTTGAAAAATTATATGCGGACACGCGACGGGTCCAGGGATACCTTGGCAACAGCCGAACTGGCGCGCCATGAATTGAGGTTCATAATTAAAAGTGTAAAAGGTTTTCTGCCCCTTTTTATCAAGTTTTTTGCTACTAAAAAGATACCTGGGTTTGAGGGCAACGTCCCAGGCAAAAGGATAAGTGGAATGAGGACAAGGCTCAGGAGTCGGAAGCGGATTTGGTACTGGAAAAGGCCAAAAATGGTCGGGAGCATAGCCCGCATACTTTTTATACATAGAAAATCGAGAGTTACTGCGGGTATCTGTTAAAACTGCGATTATTATTGGATCGGAAGATTGGAGGTTATTGCGTCCTGAGCAGAGTCGGTTAAGGGCTAATCCCAAATGTTTTTCAGCTGTTGGCATAGTGGGCGGAGATCCTAAGTTAAACGCGTTGGGGAAGTAGAGCCGGAACCAAAGTTCTAAAAACCAAAAAGGACCCGACGCGGCAGTGTCTAATTTCCTATTATCATTATCTGTTAAACGAAGGCTAACTCTAGTAAGTCCCTCAAACAGATTGGCTAAAAACAGGGTGCCAAGGGAAAAGAACCGACCTGACGTGATATGAATGGCCAGGTCGAGATGAGAAGGAAGAACACATTTGGAAGGGGAAACAATGACGTACCTACAAAGCCAAAAAAGGATAAAGGCAGTATGCTCCCGGTCGGTTACAGGGGTCCCTGGAGCCCCTTGCTGGTCGGTTGCGAACTTTGTCCAACCCCATTCCTTCACACCTTGTAAAGACCACCCTGGATGGTCTTCTGATGGCTCCTGCCCATCTAGGGCTCCCATTACAGGGTCTTCACCCACGACTGGGAGATGCGCGATCATTGCAACGTCCATAAGAGTTGGGCCAAAGGGGCCCGATGGGAAGAGGAAAGTCCCATTTTCCGCATTCCAGAAGGCAGACATAGCCAACAGCACCTTCTCATGCAGGTTGATAGGCATGGTGGACAGTAGTATTGCTTGGTCGATCTTTTGGGAACGCCATTGGGTCTGGAAGTGTTCTGCTACCCGTCGATACCAAGCGCGGTAAGGATCTTTTGGGTCTGTGAGATGGGTTTTGATGCTGTCTCGAATGCGAACTGCTTGGTAGTTAGGGCTGTTGATAGCCAAGGAATTTCGGGATTCCAAGACTTCCCTCATCCGATTTGAATCTTCAGGAGTAGTGCAATATGGACGGATCGTCGGAGTTAGTACTTTCGAGGCTGAAAATGGGCCCTCCGGGAGGGTTCCGTCGAAGGGAAGGGCAGGAATGTATTGATTCGCCATGGTTAGAGTGTTTTGGGATTGTGATTCACAAAAGCTTGTATTGCGGAGAAGGAAGTTAATCAGGAGTGTTGCAGTAACTGGTGCAGTTGCTAAGGGAGTTTTTCAAGAGGGTGGTGATTTATGAACTTCCAAACATTGATTGTTAAATGGCGTTTGAAAGTCCCTTGGCGGCGGGCAAAGCCCAAGGTAAAAAGAAGAATGGGCCTGGCAATAGAGTTGATTGAACTGACTGAAGGGCACCATGAGGAAATCAAGGAAAATAGGTTTGTTACTAAGGAAAGTCCTCAGGTCGGAAGGTCTTCAGGTCGGTAGGTCCTCAAGACGGAAAGTCATTAGGACGGAAGGACCTCAGGTCGGTAGGTCCTCAAGACGGAAGGACCTCAGGTCGGAAGGTCTTCAGGTCGGTAGGTCCTCAAGACGGAAAGTCATTAGGACGGAAGGACCTCAGGTCGGTAGGTCCTCAAGACGGAAGGACCTCAAGTCGGAAGGTCTTCAGGTCGGTAGGTCCTCAAGACGGAAAGTCATTAGGACGGAAGGACCTCAGGTCGGTAGGTCCTCAAGACGGAAGGACCTCAAGTCGGAAGGTTTTCAGGTCGGGAGGTCCTCAAGGCGGAAAGACCTTAAGTCGGAAGGTTTTCAGGTCGGGAGGTCCTCAAGGCGGAAAGACCTCAAGTCGGAAGGTTTTCAGGTCGGGAGGTCCTCAAGACGGAAAGACCTCAAGTCGGAAGGTTTTCAGGTCGGGAAGTCCTCAAGACGGAAAGACCTCAAGTCGGAAGGTTTTCAGGTCGGGAAGTCCTCAAGGCGGAAAGACCTCAAGTCGGAAGGTTTTCAGGACGGGAGGTCCTCAAGACGGAAAGACCTCAAGTCGGAAGGTTTTCAGGTCGGGAAGTCCTCAAGGCGGAAAGACCTCAAGCCAGATGGTTCGCAAGTCGGGAGGATTGGCGGTCGGACCCATACTATTGTAGATTGGCAGTCGGGCCAAAAGAGCGGAAGGTCTGTGGCCGGCTCAAAGAGTGAAATATAGGGATAATTTTGGTCTGCTGGGGACGCGTGTCAGCATGAGAAGGGTTGGAAGACGGTTGGGAAGGAGACGTTGTAACCGTTCGGGTGACGGTTTTCGGTACGATTTCCCAGAGAATATTTAAAGGCTTGGATAATCATTTGACAAGGCATCTTCAATCAACTTTAACAAAGCAAAGTCAGATTTGGGGATCACCACTTTAAATTTCAGTCTTTTATTTTCCAGTTTATTTTCTGTACCATACAGTGTTTAGAGATTCCTAATCTCAGGCACTAATTAATCAAGTTTAAGGATATTTTCTATATCTTTGAATTTTACTTTATTTTTGTTGAAAAATTACATCAACAATTATATTATTTATTTTGTTATAAATATTTTAATATAGATACAAAAGAGTAAATAAATTAAATTATGTATTAATTAAACAATATATTATACATATAAATAAAAATAATGATAAATTGTTAAAGAACATATAGGTTTTTTTATAATCATTACTTTTTCTGAAAAGTTGAACATTTTATTTTTATTTTTAAAATACAAGTCTCTTGTTGAAGATGCAGAGATTTTTTTTTTATGTAATAATTACTTACTGAAAAGTTATAATAATTATTTTTTATAATTTTATAAATATAAGGAGTTACAGGGTTTTTCTTTGTATTCAATATTATTTAAACATCTCATTTTAACTTTTAACTTTCATTTTTGTTTCCGTATTTCTGCCTTTATCTTCTATGCTTCTGCATTCTCTTCTTTCTACTAAAAAAATCTCTAATTCTCACATACTTTTCTACATCTCACTATGTCATACAGTTCTTACATAACATCAGACACCTTCTCTACATAGATGAAAACAAAAAAGCACAACAAAATAAAACAATAATTCTTAATCGGTAGAAAAATACATACATGGAAGCAAAAAATGCACAAAAATTATGTTAATATATATAATAAAAAAATATCAACTCTAAAAATAATTTGTGGTGGTACTGCCTTTTTAACTTGTGGCGGTAAAAATAAATCATATTATTTTTGAATTTATTAAAATAATAATATCATATTTAATATAAATAAATAATATATATTCTAAATTTAAAAATAACGTATATATCGTAATAATAGCACAGACACAAGCTCCCAATTTAAACATAAAATTACACTAATCTAAATAAAACAATAACAATCAATCCATAAAAAATCAAACACATGAAAACAAAAAAAGGCACAACAAAAATAATACATATATATAATAAAGATATATAAACCTCAAAAGTAATCTGATCGTTGCAATGTGTTTTTAACTTGTGTCAATAAAATAAAATTATAATATTTTTATAATTATTTAATAATTTTATTAAAATAGTAATACTACCTCCGTTATATAAGAAGAATACCATAGGTTTTTTTGCATATAGATATTTGAATATTAATTATTATATCAATACATAGTACAAATCAAGAGAAAATGACAAAAATACCTCTATAAGTCTCTTATAATACAAATATAATGACATTTGTGGAGTAAATTATACAAATATAAAAATATTTTTAACGTATATACAATGACGCAAAAGACAAATGGTACTCTTTTTATGAGACAAAGACAATATTAAATTTAATATAAATAAAGAAATAACACATATTACAAATAAAAAAGTCACACATATAATAAAATAAAAGCACGCACATAATACACTTATCTAAACAAACCAACAACATTTAATAGGTAGAAAACCATAAAAATTAAACGAGAAAAGCACAACATATATTTATCATATATATAATAATAAAAATATAAACCCCATAAATACCAACAATAATTTGTATCATACTATTTTTTTAACCGTGTGTTAGTAAAAGCAAATCGTAATACTAATAAGTATTTACTAATTTTATAAAAATAATAATATCATATTTAATATAAATAACACACGTTACAAATAAATATCAATATCATATGTAATGTAATAAAACACACAACTTCCTATTTAATAAGAATATCATATTTAATATGAATAAATAGCACGTATTGCAAATTAAAATAATCACATATATAGTAATAAAAGCAAACACACATGTTCCTATTTAATCCATCATAAAAGCACTCGAATACCTTTTCACAAGGCGTCAAACTATGTAAGCAACAAATGCAATTATTTAAACAAAATAAAATTACAACTCTGCCCTTATTGAAAGTATACTAAATTAGTACGGTGCTGACAAAAAAAAAAAAACAAAAAAAAAATGTCAGCACTGTAACCAGCGCCTTAAAGTGATATAGTTATTTTTTAAAACAAAAGTATTAGTTTAGAATGAACAAAAATAAAAAATTGAACTATTATTTTGGAATAGAGAAAATAAATATTATTTTATACAAAAATTGCAAAGGACAATTATATAATTTTTTATTTTTTATTTTATCTATTTCCCTCTCCAGTAAAATACTATAATCTCCATCCGTGATTATTATATGATTTCTATTGTTTGCTAAATATATATCTAATTCATTGTTTTGGGAAAAAAACTTTAATAACTGTTAAATTTTTTGGGAGAAAATAATAAAATTATCTTATTGATCATCAAAATAAGAGGTCTATATTTAGGGAATACAAAACAGACTCGATAGACTCAAATCTAAGTAATCTAATATATGGATAAAACCAAATCTAAATATAAATCTAGCAAATCTAAATAGAAATCTAGCAAATCTAAAACGGAATATATAAAATATCTCAACATCTCCCTTCAAGCTCAAGTGGTATAGCATAAACCAACTTGAGTTTGATAAGAAAGTTGAATAGAAACGCAAAAGACGCAAATAAAAATAACAGTTGCTTGTCTGCCGTTGACGCCACCGCTCTACCGTGTCAAAGCCAGAAACAATGCTCTCAACTGAATTAGAGTCGAAAATAACATAACTCACAACGGAGTCGAAAATGACATGTCTCTCTACTTGAGCCGAAAACGACATGTCTCTCTACTGGAGTCGAAAACGGCGGGAGTACTCTTCACAAAGTTGGAAATAACAGGACTCTCATTGCAATCAGAAACATAGCTCTGGAGAAACGCAGTAGACGGATCGCAGAATCGCAGACTAATGTCCAGACATGACTTCAAATATAGACAAAATCAGGTTGAGGGAGAATCAAGATTAAGACCTGGAAGGGAAGAAAAGACTGTCAGATTTACGATAAAAACCTGTAAGGGAATTGAGAAGGTTGAGGGAGAATTGCGATGTGAAAACTAATTATGAATGATGATTAAAATTAAGGTGGAATGACGATGTCTTATTTAGAGACAAGGTAAGTAACACATAAGTAACACATCCGTCAATACTTCCCAAATCTATAATATCTTTTTTTATTTTTTAAATTTCCCGCCTATTCATTCTTAAAATTTTTTCTTTTGAGTGGTCTTTAAGATTTTTGGGGAAAATTATAAATTATATTTTTAAGGAAAATAAATGTAAATAAATAGATAAATAAATATACAAGTAGGTTTGAAACTAAACTAACATAACTAGTACGAATAATATATTTATAGCTTACACTCCCCCTCAAACTCAAGATGGGACAGTAGAGATCAACTTGAGTTTGTCTAAGAGCAATTGGAAGCGGCTGGAAAGAATAGACTTTGTGAAGATATTTGTTGTATGATATACGGAAGAGACCAGAACGAGATGGACAATATGATAGACGACATGCTGACGAATGAAGTGGTAGTGAAGCTCAATATTCTTGGTGTTCTCATGAAATGTATCATTATGTGCCATGTTTATAGCACTTTGACTATCACAATGAAGAGCGGTAGAAGACAGGTGAGGAACACCAAAATCAGTGAGTAATCGATGTAGCCATAAAAGTTTTGATGTGGAGTCAGCAAGAGCACGGTATTCTGACTCATCACTCGATCAAGAAACTATAGTATGCTTCTTTTTGCACCAAGAGATGAGAGAATCACGAAGAAATAAACAAAAACTAGTAGTCGAACGATGCTAGGTAGGTCACTAGCCCAATCAACATCAGAGTAACCGTTAAATGTCAAAGAGGTACAAGATGAGAAGTGTAAACAATGCATAAGAATATCTTTCATATGAGGAATAATGTGTAAGACAATAGAGTGTTGATAGGTCCTCGGACCAACCATAAATTTACTCATTATATGAACTGCATGAGCGATATTAGACGAGTGACAATCAAATAAATCAAACTCCTAACAAAATGACATTATAGAGTAGGATTGTCAAGAACAGAGCCATCATGAGAAGTGAGACGAACGTCATAGGAAAATAGTGTGGAGGCTATCTGAAAATCAGTGAGATCATCCCGAGAAATAAGATCAGAGGCATACTTATCCTGAGATAGATACAAACTATCGGAAGAATCAGAGACCTCAAGTCCCAAAAAGTAACAAAGGGGGCCAAAACTCTTCATCTCAAACTACTGACTGAGATATGTCTGTAGATCAGAAATACTAGATGCATCATCCGCCGTGATGATTATACCATCAACATAAAGCAAGAGAATAACTATTAATGTGGAAGAATGATGAAAAAATAAATTACAATTATAACCGCACGTAGTAAAACCAAATTCCAAGTGTTGAGCTAAATGTAGCATACCGGGACTAAGGGGCCTGCTTCAACCCATATAAAGTACAGTGTAAAAGACAAAACTTCCTAGAAGATAGAAAACCTGGAGGAGGAGTTATATAAATTTCTTCAGAAAGAGTGTCATGCAAAAATGCATTCTTGACAACTAACTGAAAAGGAGACCAGCTA